CCAATAATCGATTATCACTTGTTGACAATCGATTATCTGGGTTACCGTTGTCCTCCAACGGATAGAATTTTAAATTTTTGGACAGGGAATCTTTGGATAATCGATTATCAAGCTGTGACAATCGACTATCACCCTGTGTCTCTGAAAAATTCGTCTTCATCCTGTTGGAAACTCTAGCAACGGATTTATCCCATTTTGGGCTATAAAATGGCACCCAAATCCTCTCATTTTATACACAATTCTTCAACATGTCAATACACCTTCATTGCATAAGCATTCCTATTTTTCTTAGTTATTTGAGAGCCAATTCTTGAAGAAATTGTCGTGTTCTTGAGCGTTTACTAGTTCACTCATATCTACTCTTTGTGAGAGTTTTATTCCTGAGTGTTTAAGTGTCTTCATACACTTTAAGGGAGGTTGTTCCCTTGTTGTAAACTCGAAGGAAATTACTTGTTCCTTCGTGAGAAGTCTTGGAGTGCGGTATCTCCGAGTAAAGATGTTGAGGCTCGTGTGACTCGGGTTCTCAAGTTGTATCGGTTTGTTAAGCACCCTTAAGCTTAACGAAGTTAGTGTAGCTCGAGAGAGTCTCTCGGGGGGCTGGATTAGCCACACGCTGTGGTGAACCAGGATAAAATCCGGTGTGCTCCTTCCTTACACTCTTTACTTTAACGCTCTCGTTTTAATTTCCAGCGATTTTGTTTTAAACGCTATTCACCCCCCCTCTAGCGTTGGGCCTTTATTCTAACAACGACAACCAAAGCTAGCAATAAAATTCTTTGTGAAAAGATGCCAGCGTATTCCTCGGGGCTATATTATACTCACATTAGTCCCGTTGAAGTGGATGTTGTCTCTAATAAAAAATTAGATGATCAGAAACATTCATTTTGTGGCATGACCGTTTGGGTCATCCTGGCAGTGTAATGATGCACAAAATAATTCAAAATTCACTTGGACATCCATTGAAAAATATAAGGATTCCAAGATCAATTGATTTTCCATGTGTTGCCTGCTCTCTTGGAAAATTGATTGTTAGGCCATCTCTAAATAAAATTGGAGTTGAATCTCCTGCATTTTTAGAAAGAATTCAAGGAGATATTTGTGGGCCAATTGCCCCACCAAGTGGACCATTTCGTTATTTTATGGTGTTGAATGATGCATCAACACGTTGGTCACATGTTAGTCTTTTATCTACAAGAAGTTTTGCATTTGCAAAACTCCTTGCTCAAATCATACGTTTGAGAGCTCAATTTCCGGATTATTCAATAAAGAAAATACGACATGATAATGCGGGAAAATTTACATCCCAATCATTTAATGACTATTGCATGTCTATTGGGATTGATGTGGAACATCCAGTTGCTCATGTGCACACTCAAAATGGTCTTGCTGAGTCTTTAATAAAGCGATTACAATTAATTTCTAGACCATTATTGATGAAATCCAGTTTACCTGCATCTGTTTGGGGACATGCTGTATTGCATGCTGCAAATTTAATTCGGCTAAGGCCTACTGCAAATCATATTTTTCCCCATTGCAATTGGTAACTGGAAAAGAACCAAATATTTCTCACATAAAAATATTTGGATGTGCCGTATATGTACCAACTGCTCCACCACATCGTACAAAAATGGGTCCTCAAAGAAGGCTGGGAATTTATGTTGGCTTTGATTCTCCCTCAATTATAAAATATCTTGAGCCAATGACTGGTGATTTATTCACAGCTCAGTTTGCTGACTGTCATTTCAATGAGACAGTATTCCCACCCTTAGGGGGAAAAATGAGAAAAAGGACCCATGTACGAAAGAGATTACATGGAATGCAACATGATTATCTTTTCTTGATTCAAGAACAAATGCATGCGAACAAGAAGTGCAAAAGATAATTCATTTACAAAATGTTGCAAATCAATTACCTGACGCATTCACAGATTCAAAGAAAGTGACAAAGTCACATATTCCAGCTATGAATGCTCCTGCCAGAATTGAAATTCCTTCAGAGAAAAATGAAAAAACTCTTGCAAATGA